AAAAGAAAAAGTGGCAGTTTTCCTGGAGATGTTTGATTCTCTGAGCACACCAAAAAGCTTATATTTTGAAAATAAAACTTCTCATTATAAAAACTTTGAAATTCTGCCTTTAAATCAGTAAAGTGTCATCCATTTCTGAGTGGACTGAACTTAAAAACCAAAGGGGCTCCTTTGAAGACACAAACCTTGCTGCCAACTTTGTCATGAATACAGAAAAGTAAAAGAAACAAAGGTTAAAAGATAAAAGCACAGAAAATCTGGATTACAATAGAAGTATTGCTGTCATCATCTGACTAGATGTGAGATGTGCTCATTGCAGAATATATTTTACTCCCATTGGTTAACACATTAGGTTGTTCTGGATTCCAACTAACAACCATATTTATTCATGAATAACAGCAGAGAAAAAATGAAATTAATTGCAATAATAAGATCTCTACTTAAAGAAAAAAATCCTAATGAATAAGCTGAAAAATCTCCCTGATATTAATAAAAAAGTGTGAAAATATTACTATTTAAGTATTTTGAAAACTGCATCTTGCATTTTAAGTGCTCTTTCCTGTAATACATGTGCCACATTCTCTTTCCTTACCTATTACCAAATTCTATTGCTTTATGAAGTAATACTGGAAAAAATAACATTAAATAGTCCAAGGTTAGCCACCTACTGTGGTTAAAACAGTTACCAGTAAACTAACAGCAGTGCATCTGTGTAGAAGGCAGTGAAAAAGCCACCCCCTCTCTGACTTAAAAATTGCATTCCTGACAGAAGGTCTGAAGCACAGGTACTCTGCAGAACAAATACTTTGGTTCCCTGTCATTCAAAATTGGTGCACTTGTCTAAAATAGTATTTGCTCCCTATGTCATCACATATTTGAATTTCTCAAATACTGATGTTGCTGGTGTGAATCACCCCAACAGATTTTGTAATCATCTGTTCTTTGGGGTTCTTAGGACACTCTGAAAGCATACTCACCAGTGAGACCTCCATAAAAAGGCTTGAGATTAAACTGGTTTTAGGAGAGGCTTTGTTTCTTATTTTACACAAAAATTCAGTGATTTAGTGCTCATCCAACACTTTCTGTCACTCCTCTGCCCAAACTAAAACAGTTATTGAATGATGGCAGGAGACAGACATGTACAGACAGAAACACCCACACCATCAAATATGAGAAAATGGTTCTTTACTTTCATAACCGTGACACTTAATGTCAAGGAAAAGAGGTTTGTGTGGCTCCTGAAATTAGCATTTATTTCTACAATATCTAGCTATTGTAATCTGAGAGACTGGGAAATAATACTCCCAGACTGCCTACTTTACTAGACATTTCTAAAGACATGACAGAAATAACTTCAAGCCCTTCTAAGCCATTCTAAATCAAACAGAAGGTGATTGGAACAAAATAACTTTCATTCTAGTAAATATCTCCACTGTTGAACTTTTGTGAAAAAATATCTCATCACCTAATTGTATAGTTCCAAATCTTTGTAATATTTGCATCTCCTTCAAAATCAACAACTATCAATCATGCCAAGCAACCTGGGTGCAGAAATCTCTTCTTACTTCCAGTTTAGCTACTAGACTGACTACATCCATTTAACTTACAGTTTGCTACAAATACCATTCTGAGGCACTTTACTTAATCCAGAATGCTAGTTCTTTTGAAAATAACAAAAACATACACAAAGGAATATTTTTATTAAAAAGTCTTGCATCCTAAGATAAATGCTACATAGGCAAGACCCTAGCAAGATCCTTAGGGAGATGATGCTCCATTCTGAAGTGTTCTGCTTCACTCCTGAACAGTGATACACTCATTTTGTATCTCTGACATTCTGAGTAGGGAATCTTTCCTCTCTCTAGGCATGGATATGCATCAAATGCCCTGATCATCAGCAGAGCTCTAACTGCTCTAGAATGCTGTAATATGGCACATGCTCTGTGATTTGGAGCATGATATCTCTCCTCCTGAAATGTGGGCTTATGCCCATCTGATTAAATACTAACTCAATAGATGTTTAACTTACTGCTAAGTTATGTGAGTTCTTTGGTCACTCTGTGGATACCTCATGCTTTATGGCGGTTATAATGGCAGAGTATTATTGGTTTTGCATATTATTTGAACAAAATTATTTGCAAAGATAAAAAAATACACATTATCAGACTTTAGGAAAAATAAATCACCATAACACACAAACCTGTATAACAATCCTGTTTCTGAGATTTCTTAGAGAAAGTAACAGGGAAGTGAATATCAGGCAGGTGGATCATTTGACTGGGATTAAAAGCAAGATAGTAAACTCACAACTAAGTAAATCATCCAAGTAGCTGCCAAACGTTCTGGCATAAGAGATAGGAATTTTAAAGTAAATCTAAACAGAGTCACTCCATTAAAAAGTAAGAAGAAATCAGGAATGTGTTATCCTAATACAGCAAGCTTAGACTCTCTGGCACCACAGAATCAAATACTCTCACTGATTCAGGCACTCCAAATACTCATCAGGGGAATAAATTCAATATTGTGAATGCAATTCTGATTAAATTTTCTAGAATGGCAGCATCATTAAAAAAGGTAACAAAATAAATATATTTTTAAATTTTTGCATGAGCAGTCTAGTGACAACTTTTTAAACAATAATGGTTTCTTCTTTGCTACTGTCTAGCATCTTTATCATTATACTGTCACCTGTTCTTATTCCCAGTGTGTCTGCCTTTGAAAAGTGTCTTATTTCTATGAAGTAAAGTATTCTGGATTAAACTGCAATTGAAAGTAAAATACTGTCATTGTTACAAAACTTACCAGTCCAAACAAGATTTTCATATGAGAATTTACAGGGAACATTGCAAAAGTGAGAAAATCAGAAATAACTGAAATGAAAAGAGTAAGAAAGGAATCCTATGTATGTAGGAAAGAAGAGCAAGAGAAAATCACAAGTAATATAAAACATGGAGGTGAATAGATTAGATTTTTGTCACAGGATGTTCTCACTATGTAAGATCTAGCTACAGTTACAATTCTCAACATTCAATTTATTCCCTTTTATCACAGGATTAATTGTATGACCATAGTAAACCCAAATTAAAGTTTTATTTTCCTTTCCATTTCAAACAAGTTGCAGGTCTAATCCTTCCAATCTTTCTTTTACGTATTAGCACCTATACAGTTTGGGACAAAAGTGTGGAATTTTCTAAACTCATGACTCAAAATAGGACATCAAAATGGACCAGGGAATGTAAGCTGGTAATAGAGGGACTCACTAAGGAAAGAAGAGAAATATACTGAAACTACTATTCTGATACCTGTTTTCAAGAGCAGCATGTCACATTTATGATGTCAGCAGAAGAGCTGCATGCAGAATTTAGAAGGACAGCAGAAAGTAAAAGATTTGTTGAAGCAGTCTTCCCCTCCGTAATTGTATAGTGATATAAATTTAAGAATTTATTCTTCTGATTATAAAGCCAGCCATATTGCAAGTCATATACCTTCACATATTAGATATCCTGCAAAATGCCAACCAGTAAAATGCCAGTGTCAACTATATCCTGCAAAATGCTGCAGACTAGAATTAACAGTTTTTCTTAAATTGTTGTTCCATGACTTGTGTCTTTATTGAAGTTTTCACTAATAAATAAGCACACCATTAGTGTACAAAAAAGTGTATGTTGTTTTAATATTTCCCATGCCCAAAAGTCTGTTAAGCTGCCCTGTCCTAAATCTGTTGGTTAGACTCAAATATCTTCATCTTCACATTATGGAAACAAAGGCAATGGTCATTTTTTTCCTGTGGTATGCCATAATGAGCCAGAGTTACTCTCCAGAAGAGAATAACTCTTGTCAACTACTTAATAAGTGCCTCACTGATGACTCAGTGGCCTTCCTGGTGCAGTGCAGCATGAAGACTTTCTTGGTGTACATTTAGGATGGCCATGTGTTGTGGTGACTCACCTGTGGTTTTGCCAACTTTGAACAATGTAAGGTCATCCTAAATGAGTGTTAATAAAACCTTCCAACACCTCACATTCACATGAATTCTCTAGACAACACACAGCATATTGGAGAAGTAATTTATTAATATTTAAGTACTTTTTGGAAGAAATTATGCAGTTCTCTGTGTCTGCTGAGATCTACCTTATGGAACACAGGACTAGGAGAGGTGGTAAAATGGTTGTTATACATGTTTTGCCTCTCTAGTGCTGGAACCAGTGGGTGCAACCCTGACTTGTTCCAGGTGCTAATAATTGTGCCAAACCAGATCTGCTTTTATGCCAGTGGACAGGAAATTGCTGTCAAAGGAACTTTTATAATATTCTGTTTGCATAATGGGATCTCATAAACATCAAGAAATACCTTTGAGCCTGAATAAACATGGTGAAATCTTGTCTCCATTGGGATTTTTGTCACAGATATCAGAGGAGGCAGAATTTGAAACTGCTGTGTTTAAGACTGCTTTGCTTCAGAGGCTGTAATGTCTGTCCAGAGATTGTGAAATCATAGCAGGAGTCCCAGGTCAAAAAATAACACTCCTCTTAGTGTGATGAGCAATCTTTTTGATTCAAATAGGTATGTCATTCTGGGAGCTGTTATTAGACTGAAGCTAACACTGCTCAGGTAAATGGCAGCCAACTTCCTCAGGACTCTGGAATGCATCTCATTGGACTCCATAGACATATGTACATTCAGGTTTCTCAGGTGGTCATGAACCTGATCTTTTCTTACAGTGGGAGGGACATTGCTCCCCCATCCTGCCATCCATCCACCCAAAAGGTGTGGGAAGAGAAGCTGCCATTGAAGACTCAGTCGAAAAAGTTGTTGAGTACCTGAACCTTCTCCCTTTTTACCAGTTTGCCAGCACCATTTATCAGGAGGGCACGCCTTCTTTGACATTCTTCTTCTGTTTTACATACCTGTAGAAGAACTTCCTGCTATTCTTTCCGAGTACAGAACCATACTCTATGCCCTTCCCAGGCCACCTTTCCTCTGCTTGTGCATTTGCTTCATTCCCTTCAGTCTGACCAGCAGTTCCCTACTCAGCCATTCCAGTCTCTTGCCTTCCTTGCCCAATTTCTTGGTTCTCAGAACTGTGACTTCTTGCACTTTACTGAAGACATCCTTATGTATCTGCCAGCTCTATTTCACTCCCTTGACCCTGAAGGCAGTCTCTCAGGGGATCCAGCTGACTATCTCCTTAAAAAGCTAGTAGAAATTTGCTTTCCTAAAGTGCAAACTCTAATCCTTACCCAACTCATATCCTTTAGGACTGAAAACTCCACCAACTCCACCAGGATGCCTTCAGACTTGAAGTACCTGATTTGCTCCCTTATGCTGGTGACCATCACATCCAGCGTTGCATCCCCTCTGGTAAAGTCTCTTGGATTGCATGGAATTGTTGTTCAATAATTTTTCTTCTGCCTTAGAGAACTGTAAAAGATTAAATAAATGTGAGAATTCAAGAAAGGACACTTAAAGGCCAGATACAAGGTATGAAACTTTGGGAAATATATTTTGTTCTGCAGCATGAATATTACTGTACAAATATATGCCAAATTTTGCTTCAATTCAACTCAATATGAGTCAGGAATATTTAAAAGCATCAGTACAATTTTAATTTATATGCATTCAGCCATAAAGAAAAAACAGCCTATATTTTGTATTTCTTCCACATATCATTGTCATATTCATATTTCTCTTTGCCAGATAAGCACTTTTTTAGGAATATGCTTTACAATTAGACATAAGAATTGTATTTTAAGTCTTTCAAGAAGAAACTACACTCACCAGTTCTCATAGATATATAGGATATTACTGGCAGCAGTGGCATGTCCTAAGAGTCCTTGCTAAAGAATGAAAGTGACACATTTAAATGGGCCACACTTGATGATATGTCACTTAACTGTTTAAAGCAGTCAGCAAGACAAAAATGAAAGCCATTATTTCACTTAATTAGCGAGCCTGGTGAGAGAAATCTTCCATCTGTTTTCTTTAGCAGGATTATTTTTAAAAGGTGAGCATGGGTTGACAAAGACTTTCAGCATTAAAACAATAGAGTATATTCTAGAAAAATAGATGAATGGTCCCCTCACTACATGCTCTTGTAAAAAGTCAATCTCCAGCTCTCTTGTAGGCCCCTTTCAGTACTTGAAGGTGCCCTAAAGTCACCCTGGAGCTGTCTCTTCTCAGCCTGACTCCACAGGAGAGGTTTTTCTACCCCGATCATCTTTTTTTTTTGGTTTCTACAGGTCTTTCTCATATACACCCTTAGGAAATTGAATTTATTTAGATAACTTTTTCAAAACTATTTAAAGGGCTTAACAATCTAAGTAATTGAGATACATTTGCAAATCCTATTACTCAGATGAGACAATAACAGGAAAATTGAGAGGGTTTTTAGATAAGAGTAGCAGTAGCTCGAGGCAGCACAGAAAATGTATTATTTTTTTTTTTGGCAACTCCAAAGGCAATCAGAAAAAGCCATCACTTCACAACTTCAGTGTACAGATATGTTTCACATTTTTATCTGGACATGCTTGAAGAACTTCAAAGAGTTCTTTTGTACCTTGATACAGGGTAACAAAGCACCTTATCTGTGATTATCAGTCCACCATCATTCATTTCAGATATTCCAGTAAGATCTGAAAATTTCAACATAAAAAAACAAGTTACTGTTAGAGCTTGTGGGTGCATCTGAGGCCTCATAGGTTTGTGCAACTTTCCAGAAGTACCCTATGGGATAGAAAATTGATTTCCACCTGTTCCTCAATATCCTCTACTGTTCATCAAGGCCACAAGTTCCATAGTTGGAATTTAGAACAGATGTAGTATACTAACCTGGAAATCACTAATTTCTGATTATGATTTTAACAGGTTTCTTTTACACTCATGAATTTTAATAGCTATTAGATTGAAAGCCTTGGAATATGTCTCTGTTGAACATTGAGATCAAATCAAAAGGGCAAGGATGTCAGAAATTAAAACAGATAATTGTCATACTGCAAAAGAAAAGACCCCAGACATAAAGAACACTTCTTTCTTCCCCAAAACATAGGTTTTTTTCTATTTCTATTGATAACCAGAGTACATATTCCCTTGCTCCCTTCAGAAAGTCCCACTTCTCTGTTCTATACCTCAAGAGTATGGTAAATGAGTAGCAAATATCTCAGTACTAGGTTCAGCTGTAAAATAAGCCATCTAATTCACAAATGCAGATGCTATGAGTTTGAAATATGATCCTTTTGCTTCTAGGATGCAGATCCAAAGCTACTGTTCCTCTGTGCATGTGCAAGTACACATGTAAGTGCCTGCTCACTGTCCAGTGAATGGACGTGCATTGAATTGGCAAATACAAAGAGGGTTCCTAATGAGGTAACTCCCCTGAGAAATAAATATACTGCCTCATAACTCAGCTCTCTTTTGGCAGATTTCTCCATAAATCTGCAGAAATCAGAGGAGCTGCATCACAAGACAACATTGGCAGGGAGAAAGGGCTGTTGTGTGGTCACATTCTAAAGCAGAGGAAAAGTGAGCTGTGTTAGACGTGAGCAGCTGTGCAGAGGCAGTAAGGTGCAGGTAATCAGTGCCATTTCCATGGACTCATTCTCCAGACTTCTCCACGTTTTGCACAGGTCATTGCTGGTCTGATGTTTTTCAGCCTTACGCAGATGAATGCAATAATTTCTTATGAGAACTTTGCATAAACTGAGGTTCAAATTTCATTGAAATTGATATCTGCCAAGAATAATATTTTACTGGTGCTAAAGGCTCTGATAACTTATATTTTTTAAACCATAATTTATATGCATCACAGACATAGCAGAGAAAAACTAGGTTTTCTGTTTTTATCAGTACTAAATCAATGTTATAAACACAATCAGAGATATTTATTACTTTCCCCTAAAAAGTTACTTCTTTGATCTGTAAAAGTTAGCCAAGGTATCTGGATTTACTTTGGAAGGTTTAAAAGTCACAAAAATTATAAAATATTAAGAACTGACTTCCAAATTATTGTTTGAAAGAAGAGACACAGTTACTGTACAAGAAAGGCAAAGCATTTCTTATGAACTTCAGACAATTGTGTTGTAAGTTAGTGCTAAATTGAAGCTTCAAAACCAATCTAAATTTTGCAAGTTTATAGTCTTGCAATCTTCTGCTTTATTGTCCATCATCCTATTTCTGTGTCTTGAAAGTTCCAAGAAAGCTAGTTTATTTGGCATTATTTCCTAAGGCACAAATCAAGATTTAGTCCAAACTTCTCAAAGCAGAAATTTTTAAGACAAAAATTTTCCCCTACAGACATCCAGAATTATGAAAAATATACTCTAACTTTTCACTAATGACAGTTGAGAAAAATACTGCTGTTTCTGCCATAGTTTGCTCTGCTGTCAAACACTGAGTACACTTGATACATATCCCCATGTGTGCTTCCTAAATGGCTTTGGAACTCACAGTCTGACTTCAGTGGAAATGATACAAAAGGATCTTGATCTCAAAGATGATTATGTTTCCATACATTCTGTAGAAATATAAAACTGAGGATTGAGATCAGACCCTGTAAATTTGCCGCTGAAGAAAAGGCTGCAGAAGGAGATCACAATTCTCATTATACCTAAGGATCTGCATGCCAACACTTATAAATATTCAGTTGTGAGAAAAGCCACAGGATTTTCATACCTTAACCATCAAGGCCAAAAAACCACAAGGCACCAGTCCATAGGAAATGAGGCTTCATTCATGCTGCAGCTCTACATGCCACTTGTTAGTTATATTACATTTTATTAATCAGACTTGGATTTATACTCAGGGAAGCTGGAGCCAGTATGTAAGAAATCCTAGCCTCCATTATTAACAGAACAATGTGCTGTGCTTTTGTCTGATATTTCTGATATCCGGGCTCCAGCCAAAGTGCCATGATAAATGGACACTGTAGCCAGTATCTGCACAATTCAGCCTCAGAACCCCTCATGCTTTGGATTTCCTGTAGATGTTTTGTATAATTACCCTGTACCTCTCCTTATCTACCAGCTAAGATCACTGGGGATATAATTAGTTTAAGCAAATTCAATTAATGAAAACAATCACTCATTTCCAGTGTTCCACATACAGAATCACATACAGATAAGAGAGAACACCAGTCACCACTGGTTTGGAAACTCCTTGGAATGGATGGAAGAAAAGGGCCATTTTGAAGGGATGTTTGTTGGGAGGAGCTGGCTTCATAAACATGGGATGGTGAACACATGGATTTATCATGTTCTACACGGTGCTGTGAACACAATGAGCTAACAGTGAGTTCTCAGCTGGTTAGGTTAGACTGTGTAAAAGTGCTGCACTAAGGTTGTTTGAATTTAATTGAAGTTGCATAGGTGTCTCAGCCCAGTCTTTCCCTGGCTTTTGCAGGCTAACACAGCCCAAGGGAGCTCAGACCTGTCTCTATGTGCCAGTGCAGGCATGTTATCCTTCACATATTTGTAGTGTGATTTTAGGCATAGGCATAGGCATAGGATAGTAGAAAATGGGTGGGTCTGGATTTTTCCAGACTTGTCTGGAATTTTTGGTCAAACATCAAGAAATTCTAATTCTTCAAAACACAGCTTTTTTGTGGAAGCATACTGATTTTGAAAGGGAAATCACAGGAGGACAATTCAGATTGAGAGGCAAGTGCATGGCCAAAGATGAAGACCTAAAAGTCTAGATAATCATGAAACAAATTAACAGCAGTTTTCATCTGGGGCTTAGGCAGCCAGGTTCAGAAATCTTTGGGTTGTAATCAGATATAGCAGAGATATAAGAGCCAAATGACAGTTAGGAAAGCAGTAAATGTAATTTTGGACTTTTGCAATACTTTAGTAGAACATCGAAATATGTGTAATAGCTCTGCTTAAGCTAGGTAGGGCTTGGAAAGTCAGTTTGCAACTATTTGAATTCACACATCATCTTCACTACAAAGATACATAAGGGTTTAGCAGTTTTTAAAGCTACTGCAGCTCTGACCTCTGCTGCAAGAAACTGTTCAAGAACAGAGCCCTTCTTTCATGACATATTCAAGTACCTTTGACTTTGCATGAGTTGTTGGATAATAAGAATATTTTTCTGTGGGCATACTCAGATAAAATATGCATCTAGCCTATTATCATCAGAATATTGTTTTTCACAATTATTGTATAAAAATTATTAAATTCCTCCAACCAAAGAAACAAAAAAAATTTAAAGAATTTACATGTGAAGGAAAAATTGTTCTAAATTTATGAATTGCTCTAAATTTATTAATATCTTCAAACTCCCAACCACATCTTTTGATGGTAGCTTCCTATCTAATTTGCAACATTCCCCTAGTAATTATGTAGTTGATATTTTAGTAAGGCTATCAGTATTTAACTTTCATCAATGAGCAGATTGAAAACACATCATAGCTATAGCCCTATCACAAAATATTTTTTCCCTAAGCCAGCTTTATACAAATCCAGATAATGTCCAGCATTCTAGTGTGAACTATTTAGTTCCTCTATTGCTAAAGCACTGTGGTATTCCGAGGAGCACATGCACAGCAATACACAAAGAGATGAGAGCCAGGACTTAAATGAAATATTAACAAACAGGATTTTTAAATTTACTAAATGAAATAAATAAGAAACTCATTATATCATTTGTTTCCTTATCAATCCTAATGTTTTTGTTAATATGCCATTACATTTAATATTTTCATGCTGAAATATTTTAGACTGATATGTTTCTAGCTCTTGACTTTATTACCTCTTTCAATTAACCTACAATAGCAAATTTCATATTAACAACTACAGTAGAAATAAAAGGTGAGGTCTAATAGGCTAAAAGTACATACACATTCATTAGCAAGCTTCAGATTTCTGAGCCCTACTTGTTAGACAGTATCGTATCATTTCAAAGAAATTTAGAAAGGGAAATAATGTTGATTCAATCTCAGGATACAAATATGAAATGTCTGCGAATGGCCTGAACAATGTCAACAAATACTAGCTTTTAGTCAGAAAAAAAGCCGCCCACATTTTGCATAGAGTTAAGCACAAGTCTGAAGACTTTCCTGTAAAAACTGAATATAGTATAGAGTTTTATCAGGTATTTGTCAAAGATGAGAAAGTTACTGCAGAAAGTTTCTGTCCAAAATTACACTGCAAGGCTAAGCTTACTGACAAGATTAACCACCCTAAATGCACAGGGAGAAACCCAGTGTTCTACAGATCTACTCCAGCCTTAATGCTTTGGCTGAATTGAGTTCTTAGGAGGGAAAAAACAATCTTTGGTGCCTATTTTCAAATTTCTGCCCAGATGACCTAAAACTATATGTTAGAGTAGGGAAAAAATACATCAAAGCACATACCTTTGTGAGTGTACTGAAGTCTGGGTTCTTCCTCCATTTAAAAACTTATCCTACTTACAAAGAACATTTCAATAGTCTCCTTGAATTTTTAAGAAAAATAATTTTCTTAAAATATAATTCCACTCTTCAATAATGTCTTGATTTGGAACCCAAAATATTAACAAAAATAAGCAATGTATGATGGTATAATACAGCATGGAAGCATAAAAAATATGATATTTATATATTTAATACTCTAATTTCTGCTGCAGTTTACTGTTCCACTAAAACCCAATGTAAATTGGGTTTTAGCCATATAAATCTCTTTAAAAGTACATGCTGGTAATTTTGTAAAAGTCCAGTAAAACTCTATGCAATCTTAAAGATCTATTATAGAAATTATTGTTTTAACAGTATTTTTGCTATCACAGCACACTGAAAATAGATTTTTTTCATATAAAGAGGTCAATTCAGATTTTACAGAGGTCAACTTGAAATTTTCTGATAAAATATCTTATTCTATATTGGAATAGTGTGCTGCTATTAATTTTCAGATCATTGAAAGCAAATTGGAAAATCTTAACAAGGTTTTTCCCTAAAGCTGGAGCCAAAAGTACTTTGGCCAATTTCATTAACTACTGTGTACATTGGTTCTATTGCTTCAACTTCAGCTGAACCCTTTAAAAGCCTTTGCCAGGAGGCTAATGGCAAAAAAAAAAAAGAGCCAGATAGAATACATCAAAAGCCCCTCCAAAAAACAAAATCCTAGCTGATATCCATGCTTAAACCCCAGGCTGACATTCAGCACCAGCACTCTATCTGTCCTTTCCCTTTACTGACAGATGAAGACAACCTCCCAGCCCTCCCAGCCTCAAGTCAGGCTGAAACTCTTCTTAGAGCTTCTCTGTTTTTTGGGGAAGTGTGAGGAGGCAGACTCCCAAATAAAATGTAAATGAAAATTATCTGTAATTTTGCCTTTCCAGTAATACAAGGAGTGATTTCAACTAAACACCTTGCATGAATATATGCAAATTATCAATATTAGGTTATTTTAGTTTATTATAATTTATTATAACCAATACTAGGTTATTGCAGATTGACCACCAATTTCCACTGGTGAGCTTCACCTTTAACCATTTAAAATCAGCATCAGATGATCATCATTACACTTAACCAATCATTATCTAAATCAAACATGTTTATATCAAAGCAGAACAGGACACTCTATCAATAAAACAATAGAAATGCTGATGAGTAACGTCTTCCCACATTTTTGACTCAAAGTACTGTATAGAATTTTTTTAGGAAAATGGGTGCTCTCTATATTTTGTTTTGTCCTGTTGTTTCTCAAAAGAAATAGAAACAGTGTTACTTCTCTCTAGCTTCTGTCAAAGTGTGATTACTCATAATTCCAGAATTTTTTTCCAGTGTATTCTGAATTTACTTCAGCGAGAGTGCTCCTTCCCTCAGAAATCACCCCACTGCCTGAACACGCCTCCGCTTCACAGTGCCTTTACACATTTCAGTTGAATCTTAATGTTCTTACTTATTTTATTTCTGTTTGTATTGCCATAAATACAGTGCTCGTGCTCTGTTCCTTTTTCATAATTACATCTCTCATGCACACATTACCATATTCTGTACAACTACTGTTCAGGAAAGCTATGCTTGTTTATAATTTTGCTGATTTCCTAAATCACCTCCTAAATTTCTTATATGGGTCTGGATGCGTTTGCATGTGAATACATACTGCAATATAAAGATATGTTGTGTGTGTGAAAGAGAGAAAATGTGCCTGAGAGGTCTGTTCTTCCAGTTCTATGCCAATGCTTTTTCTAGGCAGAAGTCCCTGGAAATAACCACATTTCCACCACTGGAAAAATCCTACATTTACTTCAAGAAATGGCACATTATTAGGAGACTGACTTCCAAAATAGGAGGCAGACAATAAGCTTAATCAAAAATAATTACATTTCAACAGGAAGCATACACAGATTGTTAAGGTTCAGAATCAAAATTCCATGGCATGAAATTAATTTTTGGTCAGGGTTTTTCAGGTAAATCCAGCCTGCTGCCTTTCCTTTCCAAAGAGGACTGCTCTCCAACCCCCTGCTAGCTCACATTTTAGGTGCTCATATACCTTAACATCACAGTCCTTCCTGATATTTCTAGTTCAATACCTTCTTCCCACATGCAACCTTTAACAGCTAAATCGATATTCCCAGCCACAAGGCATGGCTTGACTTATTCATGCTTTAGCTGCTAAATACACAAGCCTGCTGCAGCTGGCAGCTTTAGAGCAGCCAGGGAGGAGCACAGAGTATATAGGAAAGGGAAGTATTTCTTTCAGGGTAGTGTAAGGCACATGCACTGCACAACAGCAGTCAAAAACCAGGCTGCAGCTCCTGCTGCAAGCACTACTGCAGCGTATTCTACTCCCTGTCCTGCTGCACCCCCAGGTATCCAGTGTGCTTTCAAGATGTCTTAGATAGGAGTGTAATTCACTGGCCCATCACTGCTTTGAAGGCATGTTTTATTTCATATTGGGTTTGTGACAGTTTCTCATCATCACTTTTCACTTGTGTCTTTCTAAATTAGCATCCTTTGTCATCCTTTTCCCCCTCTTTAGAGACACAAACGAACTAAACAGCCTTAATTTGGCTTTTTACTCCAAAGATCAACAGGTGAAAATGAAGATGGAAAAAAAGTTGGCAGTTCACATCATGTTGAAAGAGTTCAGAAGAAACAAAATGTCACAGCCCACTTACTCAACAGTGCATCATGCATCCTTTGTACTTGCGGTCTTTAGAGGGCCTCTAGCAGAGCACCTGAAAAAGAAAAAGATGACTTTCACATACATTGCTGAGGAAAGCCTTATTCCTTCCACATGTACCACTCAGAGTTTTACCTGGTTGCCTGCAGGGTTAAGTGTTGGCCCTTGGGACCCCAATGTTCCTGAGCAGGAGCTGTAGCACAGTGACTTGGGATGGGTATTTTGCTGAACTGTGACAGCTGATTATGCTGATGATTCTGCTAAGCACTGGGGCTCCTGGGCTGACATCCAGAGCATGGGGAAGGAGGTAAGATATTGGGCTTTTTTTTAACCAGTGCTCTTTTAGAGATCCCTGCCATATCCCAAGAGGAGATATTCTATTCCTTTTTCTATTCTGAAAAGAAAAGTAAAATTAGAACTAACATAGTGTGCTTACAGCTCAGATATTCTCACCAGGTAATGCTTCCTCCCGATGTATTTCAAATTCTGATCCTCTTGCTGAGTTGAAAACCTAGGATTTAATGTGAAGAATTAATTGTTATGCTTTTGAGATACAATAAATTGGCTTCCTGTCTCCTCAGAAGAAACTTCTCTTGTGCAGTAACAAATGTAACAACAAAAACCTGTATCAAAAAGAAAATGTGTTTATTCATGATTTGCTGATATTGCTTTCAAGTGCTAGTTTTCTTATTATATTTTTTTCCGGAAAAAATTATAATATTATATTTAGCTACTTGGATCTTTTCCTAAATGATTATTTCTTCACAAAAAAAAAATACCTTTTATATTTTACATACAGATGCTTCATAATAGACAATTTCTAAACATTTAGAAACTTCAAAGGATTTCTATTTTTATTTCTACTTTAATAAATATTAGGAAAAGCCACAAAATTAATATCAATGTGTGAAATATAAGTACTGCAAAAAAAGAACTGCTGTTTATTCTTCCAAAGCGGCACAAGCTGTTTTCCTCATTCTTACTGTGAACTGCTTTGAACATCATTTCCATTGAGTATGCCAACTTTTCATATTTTGTGAGCCAAGGCCTCCTAATTTCATAGCCAGCTTGCATCACCATGCAAGTCCAATTTCTATTTTATACCTTAGGGCTTACATTGATGAAATCTGACCCAGTTACCTTAGGGCTAAAAAGACTGAAGTTTTGATCAGTCATCACTGTCAGCTTTAGCACACATTTCTTTAATCCTTCTTAGTGTGCTGGAGCCGTTAGGACTGTTTTTGCTGGGCTTTGGACTGGAAACAATCCTTAATTTAATCATAAACATTTGCTCACGTCAACAAAATTTTTGGGTCTGTTAAAGTTTCATTAAACATATTGTGTGTTCAGCCGTGCTTAGGGACTCAGGTGACTGACATTCACAGAGAAATTATTCATGACAGCCAATTTTTTGTCAAGGTCCTCATAAAATATACCCTGGAATATATAAAATGCAAGGTATTTCTTTCAATAAGCCATATTACAATACTGCAGGAAATAACAAGATGTGGAACTACACAAAGTGGAAAATAGAGAAATCATCTCTAATTCCCAATTCATCCACCTCCCCCACTGCATTCCCCATGCTCTCAAATACATGTCTATATATAAAAGGAGAAATCTAATGTGATCAGTCTTTGTTTTCAATGAAGTAAAAGAAAACCAAAATATGTGGAATTTATTCTGTGCTAGCACCATTTTTAATAGCGTTGTTTCATCCTAACATAATATATTGTGAATCAACACTTTCACGAACTTCTGATAAACAATTAAGTGGTTTAGTAATGCAAAACAAAATATTTTGAGGATCTGAGTAAGATCATCAAACTAACTCCTGCAATGAAGCTTTTATTTGACTTAAAAGGGACATCAGCTCACAGAGATCTAATTTCATCAAACTTAAACTCTGTATTCAGCAGGTTGAGAGATTCAATTTCTTATTAATCAAGAACCCTGACACAAGGCTGATGATTTTTTGGTATTTCTTAACTTATTGAGGTTTCCACTGTATTTACGAGGATTACACTCTTAGTCACTTTAAAACAGGTGTGTTCCCTTAAAGGGACAATGCCCATTATTATCTTACCAACTACTGTACATAATTTTTTCTAGTCAGAGTTAGCCTTTATTGAATGAGTCCATGCAGAATCTCCACACTGCACAAGGCTGGCAATGGATTGGTCTAACAGACACTGAAGCCAGGTACATTTCTTGTGTTTGCAGTGCACATAGCATAGCTTTAGTTCTGCCACAGAAGAAAGGAGTGTTGAAGAAAGTCTTAAAAACAAACAAAAAACCAAACACAGGTATAAAATGGATCTGTTTCTCCAGTGACCCATGAAATTAGCATAGAAGAGAAACTAGTTTTTCTAAAGGGAGGTACTCAGGATGCTACAGTAGCCTTGGATATGATTCCTAGTTCAGGAATTGCTGTCTTCTTTCCAGTGATTTCTACCATCTTCTATTTTATGAATCACAATTTCTCCAAAGCTACTCCTCAGCAATATTTGCCTATATGCATAGGTATTTTACTCAAGATAGCTGTAGAAAGTACAGCTGTAGAAAGTACAGCTAAAGTACAGTACAAATCTGATTTCCTTTTCTTCACCTATCATCCCTCATTTCTGCCCTTTTTGATGTCTAAATCTCCTTCTGATACCCTACTTCTTAACTGGCCTTCATCTGCAGGGCACAGCATGTCATATCACAATGACTCTCTGGGTTTTTTACACACTTAACTCTTTTATTGCTGCAAGACTGACTCAAGTGTATAATACAGAAGAATAACACATGCTGGAACCTACAGCTGCTCTGCATGTTGACCTATTTTATGGTACTCTTTTATCAGAATTTATCTTGACATTGAGGCAAAGATCAAGACAGCCTTACACACACATGTGTAAGAACACACACACAAATTTAGGATGATATGCTATCTGTGACTATAAGTGTAATTAAGTGTGCATATTTAAGCTTATCTTATATTTAAGGTAGAAAAATCACGTGAGTGTAGATCAAGTGGTCCTGAGCTTGCACAGCATTAGCACACACTGAAGATAAAAAGGACTTTTCTGTACCATTCTGGCTGGTTTCACCAATAAAAGCCCTCTGCCTTGAAGGTAGTTAGCAATGCTGGAATGAGTTGTAGCATCACGGTGTCCTGCAACTAATGGCCTATTTTCCAAAGCAAAGGTTCATTAGGGAAAATAAATATAACTGTGTGGATCAGGGAAGAGGGAGAAGTAAGAGAGAGAAGAGAAGGTAAGGATGACTGTGTAAGAAATGCAAGAGGAAGGGAGAAAACATTTAACAGAAAAGCAAAGGTACAAATGCTACGAGGTGAACTATTGTGGAAAATGACAGCAAGTGAGAAAAGAAGACAGAAAAATGAAAGTACAGGAAGGACGTGATACTAGTGCTGAAAGAAGAGAAGGCTATATATATTTCAAAAATCCTTTATTATTTCTTTTCCTAAAAATTATTTGGGAACATAATTGCATACTTTCTCCCTGAGGTGTTAAATATCTGAATATAACAACAAAAAATCAATAAAACAAATACGCTGTTAGAGTATTGATTGCATAAAGCCACAGGTTAATGAGCATCTTTCTAACTGGTGAGTCCTGCATATAAATGAGGAACATGGATCGCAAAAGCTTACAATTCTGGTCCAGCTAAATACTGAGAATGTTACCAGTACGTTCTAAGATACTATAATGGACAAAAAAGAACATTATTCTAAATAAGAAATACTCTTTTACTAATAAAATAGCAGAGATTGAGGCAATATAATTAATCCTCTTTAAGAAAACAATATTAGCTAACTGGATTGCTGTGGGTTGAATCTCCATCCTTACACAGACATACAATTTTCATTTTCAGAAGCAGTTGCTAGGATCCTTTTCTGTCTCCTAGCAACATATTTTTAACCTACTTTCCTAGTGCATCACTTACCATGAACAGAAAGTCTTTGTAGAAGCAAATCTTTAGCTCTTCTTTCAATACAAGTATATGCATGTAATAGTAAATTGAATATCTATCTGGAGGAGTTATTGAAAATTCACATTTTTCCTGAAATAAAGTGCAATGAATGAAAAAATTATAATGAAGTATCCTTGGAAAATTGCTGATTTCTGATTTCTAGTGTCCTTGTAATTCAGAACTTAGTATTATCTCTTGGGGGGAAAAAAAACTGCTCCTAGTGGAAAAACCTATTGTTTCCAGGGGGTGTTTTCTGGAGAATTTGGGAGAACAACCTAATGGAGGCATAGCTGTCTGAAACAGAGAGTAGTCCCTCTTTTTGACTGCAATGGGATCCTTGGAGTGCAATATACTGGACATTAAAGAATCTAACAATAGGGTATATTTTGAAATCTTATTTAGAAGCAACAACTGAATGAAGATATTTTTTTAAAAATTAACAGAAATTACATGCAAAGGGAATAAGGTATATTCCCCATTTCTAGTGCCATCACATAACAATTGTTTAGATATTATTTTAGCAAAATTAAAATCTTCTGGGGCTTTTTCAAAAGCACAGTGATTTTGCCCTGAAGCTAATTAAGGAAAAATTACAAAACACTGTAAGTACAACATTATATGCATGTTCCTGGTATTTCACTTTCACTTCTTATCAAACACACTAAAAGATCCAATAACATAACCAAATCATATCCTGCAGCACAATAGGAGCATCATGGAGTTCTTTTGATATCAGTCTGCAGAGGGAAAACCACAGTATCTTCCTTCTGAGGGTTTGTAAACAAACCTTGCATGGTCCATATGATTTAGAGCAATCAATCTATTCAATGTCATTATGTTTCCTTTCCAGCACGCATTTTCATAACCTGTCAGCAAGACACTTCACATTGCAAATAACGAGGAAGGCTTAATCAATGTGGAATTCAAAAGGAACACCAGATCACTTGAAACATATACCAGTACATATCTTTTCAAGCTAATATTCAGCTACCAAAGAAGGCACAGAGAAGGCCAAATGAGTGATACAGAAAAGCAGTCCTGGCATATCCAAATTCTAAAGCAGTTTTCTTACTTCTAAACAAAAAAAAAAAAAAATCATGAGTATATTAATAAATATGCATTATCTCAGTCCTGTTCCTATTTAATCAGTTCTTACTATAAAAATTACTATTGATTTATTAGTAAAAATATAAAGTTCTATGAATGTACAAAGATATTGCCCAAAATTGACATGTTCTATGCCACAGGTATTTTTTATTCCTCTTATTAAAACAACAACAACAAAAAAGGAGATATTTTGAGATACCTGATATCCTATACAGAAAAAAATGTGTATAGCTCATCAGCAACATAAAAACTAATTTTTTATTGATTGAAATATTTGTAATTTTTAACACTGCTCTGATACATTGGTAATTTACTTGCAACTAATAAGAAATTATTAGCTCTGATATTTATAGATAACTTCTGATTCATATATAAAAATTGTTTCAATTGGAAAAAATGTTTTTTGTATAACTACATAGATAA